AATTTCTAGCTTCTTTCAAAGACCTGCTTCTCAAGATCTCTTTTCAATAAGAAATGTTCGATTGGAATATTTTTTCTTTTTCTAACCATCTGAGAAACTTATCTATTATTGATCATAATTTTTTTCTTTTATACCATTTAAGAAAACTTATAGCCTAGTGTAAGTTTTTACTTCCAAGACATACTTGGTTCTAATCTTCTTTGGATAGTAATTTTTTATCTACTTGCGATAGATGGATGACTTATGATGGACTTCAGATTCTTATGTGATCTAGTAGAGACTGGATCATATTGTTTCAATATGATATCTTTCAGCAGTTATGCCTAGTTAAAGGAATTTTACTGATATACTCTTTCATTACCCAAAAGATCAGACTCCTCAATAATCCTTTTGCCTTGTAATAGTAAGAAAGTCTTGAAAAAGATGAAAATTTTTATTAATTGCAATATTCTTCAACAACTTTTGGAAAAATACATTTTCAACTGTGACCAAAGAATTGGAACTTAGCATAGACTAGAGATTATTTGATCTTATTGCTTGACTGGAATAAGAGGAAGACCTTAATCTTAAACTTTGCCTAACTGGAATGATAAAAAAGAAAGATCTTAACTTGAACAAATAGTAGCTTTTTCACCACTTGAGAACTTGTTGCTTGTATCTTATTGATCTCATAGAACTTGATCTGTAGATTAACCCAATTGGAAGAATGGGATGGACATGAAGCATTAATCAACTTTTTCAATCATTAATAATATCATAAGAATATGTAAAGTGATCAATAAGAGCTTATTTATATTCAGTTACTAATGTGTTTTGTGTCAACCAATTAAATGCCAGATAATATTGTGCTACTAGAAATTCAGAATCAAATCGAGATAGAAAAAATCCCTCAAGAAAACTATGAAAAACAGTAGGTACTTTAAGAGAATATATGATAGTATATAAAAAGGTGGATAATAAGTCTTCTTCTATTAACAGAATCTCTATTTCTTGTTACTTTCAGCTCTGTGAGGTGACACTTCACTTGTCAGTCCTTTTACTTTCTAGAACCTTCTTGTCTTTAGTAGAGAAAGTATATACTTGAGTCTTTTAAGGTCACTAGAGACTCAAGTTTTTATTTAAAGGAGTTTATAAACAAGTAAGGGAGGGTAAAAGAGATAAATAAAGATAAGCTTCAAGTTGTTTTAATGAAAGTATAAAGACTTTATTAGTATGAAAGTATAAAACTTCTTGTGAACATCTTTTTTATATGTAGTCAGAGAATTAGTAGAAAAAGTAGTTATAATATTATTTAATAAATATTATTTTGTTAAATAATATAATATTTATATTAAATAGTTATATATTTATTTATTCTAAATATGTAAATTAATTTTATAAGTAATAATAGTTACAGTATTTAATAATTTATTGATTTTTATATAGTTTAAAAAATATTTATTTCAATTGTTATTAAATATAATTTATTTAATAAACTAGCTTAAAAATAAGTAGAATAAATTAATAGTTAAAAAAAATTTTTTTTAAAAAAAATATTAAGTATTTTTAAATAATTTATAAAAAGAAATTAAAATAAAAAAAAAAATACATTTTAATAAAATAATTTTTATTGAAAAAAATTATAAGTTTTTGAAGAAAGTTAAATATTATTTTTTTTTAATTTTTTAAAATTTTTTTATATATTTATATAATTTAAATAATAATAATATTATTATTGTTATTTTTTTAAATCGCAACTGGTATTAAATGCAAGTACTTTTATTAAGAATTAACTTAATATCTTGGATAATGAAATCTTAGGTATAATATTATCATCTTATATAAACTATATATTTCTATATATATGTAGATTAATGATAACCTATCACAATTGAAGTTATTAAAAAACTCTTTCCCACTTCCCCCTACTTCGTGAAAATTTCCTTTTTGGGAAGTTCTCTTTTTTCCCCTTTCCCCCCTTCCATCCTCTATACGAGAATACCAACATGTGGCAGACAAAGTCTGAGTTGTGCTGACACCATACGAGACTCTGTTATCTGACTTGTTGATGTATAGAAAGCAGTAGTATGTCTAGGGAAGCGCGAGCGGACCTGAACTCTGCACATGGCAAATGTCTGAGACAAAGGGAAGTGTCTTTTGGGGCAGGACACTCTTGGAGTGAGGCTTTGTGTATGCCTGAGTCGTTATAGATAAGAATACATTTATATTTTCTATTTTTTCCCAACTCCTTAACTTTCCCCCTCATGGTTTCTTTTTTTTTCCCCCTGTTATCTCTTACCCCTTCGTTTTATACCCTTCCTGCTAATGGATAGCTTTTCCCTTTTCCAAGGTTTTCTTCTTAAGCTTCTCACTCCTTCTCTTTACCGAACCATATCATTAACTCTATGGTACATCAAGGCTTTTTCCTGGTTAAGACAGTGGGCTCAAACACAAAAAAGATCAAAACAAGACTTCTTACGATTGAAAGGTGAATCTGTAACAAGGGAGGCTACACTTTCAAAACTCTAGGCATACCTTTCTATAATTACTAGCTATTTTACCAAGCCATATAAATGGAAAAGAGATAGTAATGGCGGGAATTTCATCTGGCAGTACCAAAAATATAAGGTTGTACTTGCTAAGAGCCTAGACTGCCATCATGTTGATCAGAAGTGAACAGTTAGATGAGAGCTTTTGCTTTGAATACTTGATAATATCACCACCACTCAACTCAAGGGATATGACAACGGGACATTCTCTTGTTTTAATTTTCTTCCAAGGTTCCACCAAAAACCATGGTCAGCTTACCCCCTCCAAAAGATCGATATAGGATGATCACATCTTATTAGGATCATGGCCCCTAATAAAGACAGATTCATGGCCTATACCTTGACCCAGACTGGTTTCCAGGCTCAGCATAACAAAAAACCTGATTTTCCTAACCAAACTATCACCTAACTACTCTAGCTTGAAATATCCCAATCCGGTGCTTGCTTAAATGAAGATCTTACTGAACAGGGTTTGTTTGTGATGCCGCAGGTGGTGACAAAGAAGAAAGAAATCCCTTCTAAGGTTCAAGTAAATGTATCAAGGTATCTGAGTGGTTAAATAACCCTTGTGGATTCAATCTAGTGTATAAGTTAGCATAAATATTAAGAGTCCTTTTATAAACAGATCTGTTAACTATACCAATAGTGCCGTTTTGCTGTTATCAACTATCAGCCACTAGTTGAGTCTATCTCATTTTCGAAGTGATGTATAGGTTTAACTAGGACAAGCCGCAATAGGTTATTATTAATTTGCATGTATATAGAGATATATAGTTTGTAAGAGATGATTGGTGTTATGCCAATGGACACAGATCCAAGTTAAGATAATTCTTAATAAAAAGCTCGTATCTAATACCAGTTGCGGTTAATAAAAAAAAAAAAAGATAATTTATCACAGTTTTTCCTAGATAGACCTATTACTATTCTATAAATAGGATAGATCTAACTAGGGACCGGATGGTTAATACATAGTCATCAATGGTGAAATAGACTTATTTAGTATTGAGCTTTTATAAATTTTTATATTATATTTACTAAACTAATCTGTATAATATATACTCAATGGGATTTGATTTTATCCTTCAATACTTCAGATATTATTCACTTAAACCTTGGAATAAAATACTTTACCTTTTTTGTTACCATTGATCAGTCCCATTCGACTGATTTTCATTTAAGCAGAACACTATATTGGAATATTATGAGCTAGAAGGGTAGAGGTTCTAGAGATTGCCAGGATAGGAGATCTTTGAGATATTTATGGTGAACTAGATCAGAAGCCTTTCTTTATGCAATCCTTCCAGTAATATGACTGTAGATCTCAACCTCTGATCAATAAAAGGCCAGAAGTCCTATTTTCATGTAGCCTAACCTGATTAAAGCTTGTTCTGGATGATTGGATATAACTTTCACAAGATAATTGATAAACCTGATCAGAAGGATAATTTTAATTTTTGGGTTTTAAGTGGTATTGAACTATAGACCTTGTGATTGCAACCTGGTAGCACTATCATTGTGCTATTGATCCATAGGTCAATATTATTTTTTTTCTTATTTCTTTTTCAATTTATTCTTTATATAGTTTTTTGTTATCCAATAACTTGTCAACAATAATATAAACTTAACTTAATATAAAATATTGAATTGTTTTCAAGACCAAACTCAAAGACTCTTGATATCAATGACAAGTTAATTAGATTAGAATAGAAGCTTAACTGTATTATATAATACACTGCCCAAATGAATATGTACTTATGTATTATTGATTATTAAACTTACAGATTATCAGCAAAAAAAAAAAAGAATTGAATTAAATTATCTTTATTATGTTTCAAATATTTTAAATTTTTGTGTTAATGAGATAATTAAAAGTAAACTCTTAAAGAAAAAAAAGAAAAAAAGTCAAAAATCATGCGAGAAAATAATAATATTAATAACTTTAAAAGAACTATTTACAATAAATCTTATATGTTAAATACTTTGAAATCCATGCGCACAATGATCTATTTTTATTTATTTATAGTAATTCAAACATCAGTTTATCTTTCCTAATGCTCTTTCTAGGATGATTGATAAAATTAAGCATGAGAAATCTGTTACCTTTTAGTGAACACATTTCATAAGGAGTGCATAGCAATCATACGGTCATGTAGCGAACTCGTTTTTTTATAAAATCAAAGTGAAGTGTCATGAAAAACCATTAAACATTTATGCATGCGGCGAACGATGAGTTCACATTGCGAACAGAATATATAATTTGATTTTCATTTTATCGATCTGCTATCTAGTTATCGATTATCAACGACACAATTCCTAGAAAGAAAAAAAAAGAAAAAACACATATACTGTATGCTTATTTATTTATTTAAACATCCGGAGGAAATCGAAAATATATTCGCGATGGGAGCGGTCTACAAAAGTAGTAATTCAATCGTAAGGGAAAATAAATCGGGAATTCAATCGCTAAATCGTCTATGCTGGAACGTCTTCAAGTAAATCAAATAATTTGTTCTAGGAATGGAAATAAAAGAATTAGATCTCATAAGTGAAAATAGGGCAAAAGGTTGTCTGATCAGTATTTACCTTGCACAAGATTTCGATATCACCATATGGTTGTTTTTGTTGGACGTGAATGACATCTTTAGTGTTTAAAACCAATAACTCGAAGAACAACTTAACAGCATCTTGTCGCTTGGCCTAGTTTGGTAGTAGAGAAAGTTTGGGTGAATGATGTCAAGGCATACGAAAAAGGTCACATTTTATTTTTATGCATACAGTTCCAACGACCGAGTCATAGCTCACGATCTTCGTTCTCAGGGCGCCCGGTCCTTCGGTATCTTCATCGCGGCATCTATTTCTGAGGAGACGCATTGCTTTGATCGTATTTTTACTGAATGTCGTTTCCGCATTCTGCTCTTGCGATTCTTCCTGATCAAAAATTGTTATTCCGGATGGTGATGATTGATCTTGTTGAAAGGTGATAAATATGCAAAACATGAGTAATTATTTTATTTAATATCGCGCGCCAGCATTTACCTTCATCGTCGGCGGGGGTTAACGCATCCACCGAATCGTCATATCCATGATGCGATATCTAGAAACAAATCAAATTTCAGCATATGCATTATATATATATATATATATATTTTTTTTAAAAAAGTCCTTGATACCGTGTCTAAGTTGATATCGATAACATGTTCTGGCGTTTGTTCTCTTGGAGTGACCGGTTCTTGTTCCGGAACAGGAAAATCTTCTTGAGCAGTTTTTTCTTTGACACTTTTCTCCTGACTCTTTTCCTTGTCGGTTTTTTTAGAATGTTTTCCTCTGTCTGCTTTTTCGGGAACTTCTTGATCAACCTCCCCGGTTATTACAACGTCCTGCGTTGATCCTGTAGTTAAAGAGAAGAATAAATAAACCTATCTGAGGATAACAAATAACATTATTAAATTACCTTCATCCGCGATCGAACTGTTATGCGTTTCTGTAGTATCCAGAATATCCTGCTAATCGCCATCGATATCGTTAATCTCATTGCGCAAAAGTTATTTCTAGCAGGCAAAAATGACAATGTGCTTGTTGTCTGTTACTCACGAAGTTATCGTTACCGATATTGATTTCGAAATGTTCTTGGTCCGCCGGGGGGGTACTTTTAGATGGACCGGCTTCAACTTGTTCCTCGGGGGGCGGAGTGATGCGCTGTCGTTTTCGAGCAAAGAGATGCTGAAATTCTGGTGCAATGTTATGTGGAGCATCCAAGTCGAGATAATATGATGCTCCCATTCTGCGTATCTCCTCTATCCGAAGCAATTTACGTGACGATGGGAGAAATGTGGGCTGAAAATGTGGTGAAGTGATTTAGCAAAAGTATCTGACGAAGTGGAAACGATTATGAACATAACGTGATGCCGGTAATTACCTCTATTGTGATGTCCGACCTGTCTCGGATTTGGCTAGCAATATGACTATTAGGTAGTTCGGTCAATTCGTCTTCCATTAATTTACGTTTTCGGCGGGTCACGAATTGCTCAACTTCCTGATCCTGAAATATATCTTTTACATAAAGAGTCAATGGGAGGCGCTATGTTCATTCGACTATTGGGAAAATGGGGTTTATTATTCACCATGTCGTTCAGGGCTAAGTGGTGACATGGGTGTCAGCCTTTGAGTCTCTGGCAACATTTCTTCTTGAACCCTGGTGCGCAAGGAGAATTAAATCCATTTTTGATGTAATCACATTAACGTATCATACCACACATTATGGTTACCTGGTTTCGCTGAGGATCAAACTAGCCGGATCGATATTCATATCCGCGCTGGCATTCGTATCTAAATTTAAGCCGTTGTCGAAGCTCGATTCTATTTCCGCCCTTATCTCGGATTCTCTCTCTAGTGTTGGTACACCATTATCCAACACCGGAACATCGTTATCCAACATTGGCACGTCATCCTCCAATGTCGGCACATCATTGTCTAACATTGGCACATCGTTGTCCACCACTGGCGAATCTAATGTTTCGTCAAGTAAGAGGTCAAGGTCGGGACCGCCATCGGTCATCATCAGCGGATCGTCCTCCATGCCTTTACCAATAACATCTTCCATGGAAATTGGAATGTCTAGCGGAGCCTCTCTTGCAATTTCAATATCCACCGAGCCTTCTTCGCCAGCATGACTATCATCTGACCCAGTCGCCTTCGGATCCAGGTCGTCTTCCAGATCCAAGTCGAGACCTCTTCCATCCTCCGTGTCGAAAGCTTCTCCTAGTAAATCTTCTCCAATATTTAAATTTAATGAAATATCGAAATCATCCCTAATGGTTATGTCTTGTGGTCGAGAGATATTGGAGCTCGTTGCGGTAACCGAACTCACTTCAGTCCATTGTCTAAAAAAAAGAAAGATTTGTTTTTTTATTTTTGAAAAAAAACGAGATCATCAATTCTATCCAATTACAACTCAAAAAGAAAAGATTTATTGTAGATACTTGAGACTTAGGCCAGGATCTGGTAGCAAAATATCGAACTCTGTGATTTTATCGGGTAATGTGATGGACTCAAAATTGGCGATTCGTTGATCTTCGGGTATATCAACTTCACCTTGTCTAAATGCCTTCACACGGTAAACAAGCAACCGGTAAATGATTCATTCACCTTGGATAACGACAGTCCATCGAAGCACGTGCGACCTTACCAATTTGATCTTGTTAAGGGCCTCGGTGCAATCTTCTAGTAAATATTTCGCTTTTCTTGAATATATGCGAACGACGCCTAGTAATAGTTGTCCCGATAATCTCAAGGCCATTGGTTGCTGGTCTTGTTTAAGGATAGCTCCTTTTGATAGCGACGAAAAGGTATATTTTGAAGGTCTTTTTTTTAGCATATCGTGTATAAAAAAAAAACAAGTTAAAATAGAAATGAATTATTGGACGAAAGGGTGCACATACCTACGGAGAACTGAATGTTTGTCTGCAAAAATTGAGTCTTGCTCAGTTTTCGTTCCCAGTGTGCCGCCAACCACACTCTAGCAAGCGGACCCTTTTTTTTTTAAAGAGAGAGCAAAAAATAAAAAAGAGAATAGTACGTATGTATAGTGAACGCAGGTTTCGAGCCGAGTTAAACGTGTGATTCAAGTCACCTTTTTCGACAGTATAGCTTCGGAATAAAACATTTCGTCAGTTCATTAATCCGCGTGATAAAGATTTCGCCCTGTAGATAACTGAGAAAACCGCGAGGCCGGTTTATGTAAATATTTCGCGCCTTTTAAGTTGACACCCAACCGAACCGCATTAGGCAAGAGTATGTGACTGTTACACTATCCCATGCGTAATTTACGTACATACTAAGATTTTTTTTTTTTTTTGCCGATAGAACCGTCACGTGACCGTGATTCTTATTTTATTTTTTACTGTACAGTACGTGCACAAATTGACGGATAATACTAAATATGTAGAGGCGTGACGTCATTGTACGTTAACTCCTATGTGCATCCCTACCCTGACCAGGGTCTCAAGACTTTGCAAGGAATTTGACGCGAGGTCGTCGTCGAATTTCACTTTTCCCTTTTGCCACAAGCATATGATTGTACTCCCGCCATAGGCGAAATAACCCAATTCATCTCCCTTGGATACCTTATCTCCTTCTTTCACCGTATATCGAATGGAGCCTACCAGAAGAGCGCCGATGGAGACAAACACAACCTTGGATGCTCCGGGTGCAGACGGATGTAATGCCACCACAGAACGAACGTTTTCCGTGAATACATCGAGCTCTTCGTTGATCGCCATCGGATTAACTTTTTATGAATTATTCAATCGCTTGGATCAGTTGGCGGTCAAAGAATTCCGATGAATACAATAGAATGCTAGTGTAAGTCCGAGCTTACCTGTGAAATAGGTTCCGCTCACAAATTTAACCGAGCCTACAACACCTGTGATTGGCGAGTGAAATCGGTGATAATCCTGTGGCGCCAAGCGGAAGATGGCGATGGAACCTTCGTCAAATTCTCTGGCCTATTCCGGGATACAATTAGTTTTTAAAAATGTGGAGAGTGAAGATTGAGGATGACCATACCAGCTCTTCGTCCTTGAGAAGTTCCGCGACCGTAAAATGTTTTCCCTTGATCCTTTCAATTTTCATAAGTCATGTAAAGTACGGCAACTGGTTTGGACTTGAAAAAAATCTTTCAAGATTTTGCGCAAAATGTGTTTACCAGTATTTTGTGGCAAGATCGATATCTCGAAAGACCATGAGTCTGGAATCAGCGGCCGAGACTATCACATTGCCGTTTTCGGGTTCTGAAATTATCCGTGCGCCTGGTTTCAGTTTCCTGTAAAAGAATTCGTTGAAAGTTTCGTATTTGCTAATATCGGGTTCCAACAATTCTTCAGTATTGAGATTGTAATGCTTGATGAACCCGGGAATGTTTCTAACGGAATGCGGAGAATCAAAATATTTTCCTTGGCGCTCTGACTCTATTTCAAACAATTCACGGATCACGGATGCTTCCACGACTAATGAATTCGCAAACGTGATGTCAACACTCGACCAGAGGAGGTAACTTGTAACTTGAAAAGAAAAGGTGAGAATGTCGAACACACACCTTTTTCCTCCACTCTTCCGAAAAACAACAAATGCATTCCGATCCTCGCATATACCGGCATCATCTCCCACACCTTTTCTCTTGTCTGGCGTGATGAAATTGTTGAGATTAGGTCGAAGGTTATGGTGGTTTGATTTCGATAAAAAACTTCCGCAAATATTTCCGATGCCCGAAACATCGACGACTGACCTCACGTTCGATCACAAAATTTCCGAAATGATTTTTGACAGCCAGATTTCTCAGTGGTGGTATTAACTTGTAAAACCATCTTTCGACTGGAGTCAACGATGTAGATGGTGCAAAGATGCTGGCACTGACTTTTTGACAAAAGAACTTGGTTGGTCCAAGAGTGACAGGAAAAAGGTTGAGTCTAGTTAAACCAAACACAAACCATCATACTTAGTGGTGGCGGTAATGGCTGTTTGTAATGCCTAAATTTGAGAAAAAAATTTTTTCCGATTGAGAACATCATTAATTATTATTATTATTATTATTATTATTATTATTATTATATTGTCATTCGGAATGATGATGAACAGATGGGTCCGCACTTTCTTCAAGGACAAATGATCTTTTTTTTCATGATATTCTTTAATGGAATCTGGGTGCAGGTTTACGGTTTCGTGGTCGATATCGATGACAATTTCCTCTCGAAAGGTGCTCATGGTTTTTCGATAAATGTGAAAAGGGTAATGCTCTCATCATCTGGGCGCATTTATGCGCAAAATTTTAATCCTTAAAAATTTCTAATTCAGTTCGGTTATGTGACGCAAGGGAAAGTTTATGTATGTATGTACGATGACACGTATGCATGTACTATATATACCATCAATCTAAGATTAGAATGATGAATAAGTTAGAGTTTATCTATACAAGACCTTAATACACTAAGTATGTTACTATATAGGAAAACCATAGGGCATAATACATATTCGGTTAATATAACGCTATATATATAGATATGTGGATATATAAATAAAAAGAAATTGATGATATTGAATGTAATCCTTAGCTTAAAGTCGAAAGGCAGGGAACGGTAATTAAATGTGTGCATATATATTAAAGCAACATGCATCATTTCTCATCCAATAAGAATAAAGAAAAAATTTTTTTTTTTTCCCTCGGCTTCTCGTTCTTTTGTCAATTTCCGGTGTGATCAGCATACCAAGTCATATTACTCGGGTGATAATTTTGCATCCAGGTCACCGGCACAAGCGGTTGAGTGAATATTCTTTGGGAGGCGGAGTGATAAACATTGTGATTGCTAAAATTGCTGTCGTCGCCGTTACCAAGGTTGATTGTTGTTGGTGAGGGATCATATGTGGCCGCGGACGCGGTGTCCAATCCATCATTCATCCCGACAATCGTAACTTCGTTATCAAGACCAGGGTTGCCCACAATTTTTGGAACACTCTCAACCCCTGCAAAATCCGGAATTTTTGTCACCGACTCTAAGAATATGTTCGCCCCCGGTTTAACCTCATTGTGGGATTCTGTGGGTTCCGCGTGTGTAACTCGCTGTTGATACCTCTGCTCTATCTTTGTCGTAAGATTTTCGCCTCGCTCTACCTTACCTATCATTGTATGTTCCACCCTAGGGACGCGCAGTCTCACAAAATGTTCCATCGCTATCGTTTTATCAGTTTCCTTGGCCTGCTCCAATGCTGCGGTTGATTCCGTGCTCGCACTCTCCACCTTCATATATGGCTCCTTTCTAACCGATGACAGTTGACTTTGAAATTGAACGCATCCGTTCGAAAATTGAATGGTGGTCGGATGAGCTGGGACCTTTTGTCGCAGTTGAGATAGGAATTGTTGAGACTGCACCTGCACAGGTAGCATTTGCGTGCCCAATTGATTCAAATGTTGTGGGTGACCTTCGAAATTCGTTTCCTCGAGTGAATCTGTTCGTGAATATGGTAAAGAGATTGGTTGCGAGGTAAATTGAAGTTGTAGTTGAGAGGAGGAAAGCGATCCTGTTGGTGAGTGAGGAGAAGGTTGAGTTTCTTCTTGGCGCACACATTCCTGCAATTTCGAAGGAAAATGTAGATGTGATGACACCATGGCTGGTAGCTGCGATTGTGCTGGTAACAGAACACCCGTCAGATCATCTTGGAAATTTAACGACGAAGGTTCCATCTCCCGTTGAGGTTGCACATGAGGGCGAATCGATTCGTGTAACAGCATTTGCGGAGGTTTGTCCGGATGTGATGTCTGTTCTGTTTGCTGTACGCGCGGGAGTGGTGATCGTGTCGACGAGTCGGATGTCAAAGAAGTAGCGGAGGTCTCTCTTTGGTAATATGACTGCACAGGAGAGGGGGTTGACTGGATATTCTTCTTGGATGGTCTGCCTTTTTGTCCGGGAATGTTTTTGACGGTTATCGTGCCCGCGGGGTAGTTGCATATGATGTCGGAGTTGGATACCGTCGAGGTTGATATTACGGTCATGTCTCCTTGTGTGGATGAATTTTCCTTGTATACGGACGAGGGATCAATCTTGGCACTTCTGCAGATATCCTCAAAGGCATTATTAAGGATGTCATAAACTTTATCGGTGTACTCCTGGTTCGAACACGCCAATGAGGCAAGACGAGCGGCCAGGACAATTGTGTTGGCAACGCGTTGTTCGGTGTCTCTCACCTTTCTTTTTTTCCTACATAAAAAAAAAAAATACATATACATATATATGCATACACAATGCCCACCACACGTGTGCATATAAGGTAATTATAAAAATAAAAATGATGATCTGACCAGATAACATGATACGAATACCTTTCCTCGGCCAAACGATTGTAAAATCTCCTCTCGTCCCACGACAGGTCAGGGAATTCTTGTTGTATTGCGTTCCTTATGTCGCCGGTCGACAGCTCGGACTTGGCATGGTCGGCAATCCTTTGTAGGACGTTGGGAGGCCAAGGTGTAGGTAAATATTCGGGAGATAGGAGGTCATGATTGTGCTCCGAATGCTGCGGATTTACCGATTTTCGAAATTCCCATTGGTCACCTTCTTGTTCATTTTTGAACAACACCACCCGCCACTTGCAATCGCATCTAAGGGACACTCTCTTTCTTTTCGCCTCCCTTCCGACCTTTACGGACTCCGATACACCCTCTCGTGAACAATATACGTACACATTCTAGGGGTAAGGATAACATAAATGTGTCAAAATCTCTCGTGTAACGAAAAGCATGGTCTGTGCATGCATCATAACAAGGATGAACACGACATTTAAAGCAATTTTTTAAACAAATCGGTGTTTTGACGAATCCAAATTTATATATTATAATTGACGTTGATAGTCGTTATTGTTATTGTCGCTTTTGTTGTCGTTGTTGTTGTCATCGTCGTCGTCGTCAGACTTTGTTTGGCTGTGGAAACGATTCGTGTGCTTTAATTCTCTCAATAAATTTTCTTTGGCGCACAGCGTAAAATGCAGTAACACGACGGAAAAATGTTGAGTGGCAGTAGTATAACGAAAGAAGACAGACCTTGTTAGAGCTTGTTTCTTGCTTTATGGTAAAGCCGTACTCCCTTGCCAGCTGTCGGCAAAACGATGCGGCTTCTTTCGCCGAAGGGAATTTCAAGGGAGTGAGTTGGGCATAAAAGTTGTCCATCTACATTTTAAGATTTTTTCGTTTGCGTTAGGGGTAACGTACTTTTGAAGTCGTCGCCAAAAGAATAATCGACGTTTCTAGTTCCTAAAGGAAATGAAAAATGCGCAAGTTACCATGCTAAAATTTGAACCCTGAGAGTTTACTCCAAAAAAACGAAGGGCATTTAGACTCGAGATCGCGTCATGTTTTGTTGATGCATGGGACATCATGAAAAGACCAATATTTTTCTCACAAAGAAGAAAAGAAAGAAGAGGTAAGAATAAACATAAGAAAAAAAAAAAGAAAAGACGAGAGAAATTAGAGTGTAAAGGAAAGTTTAGGGAAAAGTTGGACTACGACAGCTAACTCCTAATTTGATGTGCAAAAAAAGGAATTTATACCAGGAAAAAAAAAAAAAAAAAAAATCAAGAAAAATACGCTACGTATCAGTCAATTTTTTTTTTTTTTTTTTTTTCAATCAATCGATTTTTTTTTTAGGAATTGCTTTTTGGTTGGTGGGGTTATATAACCCCAGGTGAGCGGTAATATCCATTATGAATGATGAATAGCTCGAAATACTATCTATCTCATAAATGCGTTAGGCACAGTCGAATAATTAAGATTTGACACATAATATATATCTCTCTAGAATAATAATAATAATAATAATAATAATAATAAACTTCCAAGTTGTTGATTCGGGTTCGAAACTTAATGGAATTGCCCGAATTATTCAAATGGACAAATAAAAATGCCAGTTGTCATAAAGAAAATCCGATTTAGATAGATTAAATTAATACAACGCATTTAAAATTAATAATAATAATTATACATTTGAAAAAAATTTTTTACAAACAAAGGGCGACGGGAAAATATTTCAAGAAAAATTCCAATTTGGAATTCGACTAAGTAACGTGCACATCGACAATTCAGACTTCTTGATTTTGTCAAACATTACCTCATAATTCCTGAAATTTCTCACTTCAACTTTTTTTTTTTTTCAGTCATTGTGAGCTGCTCTAAAAGTGCATTCTCTTTTAAATACTTGAGAAGGCGCGAAAGCACGCACGCACGCACGCTTAGGTTTGCGGAGGATAAAAAATAAAATAAAATAAAACAGCACACATGTGCCGTATTCTCCGAAATTTCCATTTAAAGAAAGTGCACTTTGAGAATCTATACAAAAGACCAATGGATGACCACTTCTGTAACACCTGTCCAAATATGGACACAATATTCTGTTATTGTAATTACGCGTGATTTTGTGGCATTGACGTTGATGTGCAGATTACACGACACATCACTTTTTCCTTCCCCTGCAGAATAAGGCCGTCAGGTCAAGCTGTCGGTCAGTTTTGTCCATTGTATTATAGGATTTTGAGAACGGATTATTATTATTATTATTATTATTATTATTATTATTATTTTGTTTCACCTACATGTCTTACATCGTATTACATTATTATTACTTTACTGTATGGGACATTTCATTTAGGGCTTCTCATGGTCGAAGGATTGATTTTTAGGAAAAAAGAAAAAAAAAAGGATTATAAATGCATGATAAGTTTCCATTCTGGTACTGCGCAGATTTAATGTTTACATGCCGTATGTGTTTGTTTTTTATTTTTCCTTTTCATTTGTTTTTTTTTCACTTCGGTCAAGCATGTTTTTTATTTGGATGTTTTTCCGCAAAGTTAAACTTTAAAAATTTTCCGAGGGCGCATACACGCGCATACGGCATTCACTCAGTTCAGGTGTTCATAGGATAAACGTCCACCTTTCCTTCTGACCTTGTATCTGGAGTAAGATTGCTGCTTCTCTAGTTCCATAAATCTCAAATTCTTGATTTCTCTCAAAATGGCGCTGTCCAAGTCACGTGGTGTCATCTGTTTTGCTTTCATCATTTTTTCCACGGCCTTCTCGAATTTTCTCTGACCGTTTAGCCTTTTCAACCAGAGTTTGAATTCACGTTTAAATCTTAGCGGCGTTTGTCCCTGTTTCACAAACGTGGTTGGAACCCTGAGAGACGGGTCGAGCTCAATTTGTGCAAGTTTCTTGATCAGCATGTCATATTTTAGATCGCCCGGGGCATCGACGTATTCCAAGATTGCCATTGGGGCATTGTCCCATGCCCGACTACCTAATTTGTGGATACGCGTGTAACCTCCCTCACGATCGCGATAACGTTCTGCCATTTCTCCAAAGAGTTTTGGAACTGTGAGATGATGTTCCTACAGAAAGTAAATTTTATTCAAAATTTTTTGATTCCGGAAAGATCGACCGTTCGCCGATAATCTAATCAGAATTCAGCGCATCGACGACGCATGACAACGGGGCGACAATTACCACGACAATGGAAAATAACCACCGCACTCGAAGAAGAGACAAACATAATCATGTTCCTACCCGGAGAAATTTACACGCCAACACTTTAGCGAAAGGGTCCATCCTCTTTCCATATGTCACCATCTGGATGTTTGGTGGGAGAAAAGACGAGGGCATTTTTTTTTTTTTTTTGTGCGAACAATTTATTACATCTCTTTAGATGGGCGATACATTTTGCGTTCATGTCAAACCTCGGGGACAGGTGCATACCTTGTCCGCTAGTTTCCTCGCTTCTCTCGCTTTGGGTAAAGTGGTCTTGATCCTGTCGTACTTGATCAAGGAGCTGACCATGTTCCGCAACATCGCCATGCGATGCCCGGACTCGCGACTGAGTTTACGACGAGCTCTCATTTCTTGTTGAACTCACCAGCGCCTAATCAGGACGGACAGATTTATTAATGAACAGCCAAGAGTGCACGAGCGAACAATCATTAATTGATTACCTTTGGAACCTGAGTAAAAAAACGACCAGTTGTGGTGGTGAGCGCAAATTAGTGATCTTATTGGTTATTGATAATCATATTCTTATATATGCGTACCAAATTGTGTGACGTAACCGTAACCCAAAGATCGACACCATGAATGCCATTCCTTGCACGTGCTGGCCAGCGGTCACCGTTGGCCTCAAATGCAAACACCATTCGAGAAGCGAGTCACCGAAACTTACGACCGAGCTCTTCGACGTGGTGAACTGTTATTCATAGAGAGTACGGTGTCCAAGTTTGTGGAGAAAGGGATAGAGGTATCAGTCAATGTTTAAAAAATATATATATGTATATCTTTTGCTCTTCCTTCCTGTTAATTGACCTCGAGACTTGTATTACCGCAGTTTGAAATACGGATTTCCCCAAGTTTAGCCAAGAAACCTGCTGGGGATTTGGATAAGGTGACGGATGAGTCCACCCAGAAACCCAAGGTCAATCCATTTCTACCTTATAATCAAGAATTACTTGTGCAAGAGCATGGAAAACATGTTATTCTCCTGAATAAATTTTGTGTGGTTCCTTACCATCTGTTGGTGGTTACCAAAGGTAAGCTGCACCAGTCCCTCTTCTGTTTCTCAATGTTCGTTCACAGTTCGTTGTCAAACTGACGAATCTACGAATCGACGATGGACCTGTCGACAGAGTATGAGAAACAAACGGATCGTCTCAACTCCTCTGACCTGGAATCCGCGTGGTATTGCATAATGCAAATCAAAAGTCACACATCCCTGGCATTCTACAATTGTGGCGAGCTTTCGGGTGCAAGGTATTTTATTCGATATCACCGTCGTCAGGTAATTTTCCTTCGGTCGTCATCAATCTTACCTTATCACATTCGTCTTGTGTGATGACAACAAGCCAACCACACAAGCACCTTCAAGTCATTCCAATACCCGACGATGTCCTTCCGCTAAGTGCCTGCATCTATAATGCTCAAGACAAGAAACCAGGCATTGTATAAACAACGTGAAATATGTTCTTCCATCGAGAGATCACTTGTACCATTCTCACCCTTTCGTCATACGCCCATTGATCCTTTTCTTCTTAGGGGAAATCTTTGAATTTTCCGAATTTCCATTTGTTCACTACGTGACACTTCTTGATCCACAAAAATCGGGGCGTAAAAGTGATGTGGTTGGCGAACACCTGAATGAACTATACCATTACTTACTCGACACCTTAATCGGTGACCTTCAAGATCAATCGTATTCGACCGACACCAATCCTCCGTCCTACAATTTTGTGGTCACTCACACGTGGATGATGATTGTACCAAGGAGTAATGAAAAATATGAGAATTTGTCGGTGAACTCGTTGGGATTTGTCGGAATGTTGCTCTTGAGAAGCGAAGAGGAACTAAAGTTTGTGAAGGAGGTCGGAATCCTGAAAATTTTAGAAGGTGTTACGATACCGAAAAGGCCGAATACGAACAGCGTGGCTGATTCCATCGATGAGGCGTAACTTTTGCGTGAAATTGGCTGTAAATTATTCTTGTAAAATTGTTTTCCTTGTTGAACAATGAGTGTACTTTTATCGATATATTAAAACGTAAACGCATCGCATCCACGTGTGTGGTAACGATGTTTATCCGATCTTTCTTTCCGAGAAAATGGAAATGTTTGTGTGTAACAACCGGTTAACAGATTGGAACGGGTACCTTTTGTTCGGTTGACATAAAACGAATGATGTTCGAGAACAATCCTTGTGAGAATGAATAACAATGTAATGGCATGATGTGACGAAAACATTGTCATCATCATTATCATCATCATCATCATCATCATCATCATCATCATCATCGCTTCATTCCCCGCACTCTTTCCCCTTCTGGATTCACTTCATGAAAACAATGATATCGAAAGTTGATTGAATATGACTAGCGAAACTTTGAAGCGATTCTGCTCGTGTTTCTAATCGAGGAAGCATTATTATTTATTTGCATCAGAATGCTGGTATCGCATTTCGCACTGAAATAAAGGATTATTATTACTATTAATATTGTTGTTGTTTGTTCACCGATTCCTCTTCTTCGCCAATTAAAAATTCTCCTAAAAGAGTCTTTGATGCAAGTTCTCATGCGTGTAAAAATTTGTCCAATGGTTAAGGTGGGCAAGGATTGTTTCTGTGAATGCGAGAAACACAAGGCTTGTGCATAAATTAAATCAAATTTACTGTGCCCCATTTATTTCTATTGTGTCTAATCGATTTTGCAAATGAATTTCTGCCAATTTAGATTCTTTGCATGCACCATAGGAGGAGATTAAAAGAAGAACGCGATTAACCGAATTTGGAATTATTTTTGCCTGACGCCTTGAAACGAAAGTCGTATGTATGTCGTCTTTGTTGTTGTTTATGAAGGTGGATGCGTAAATGTTGCATGTTAATTGTTCTGGTTAATTTCTCGGATCGGGTAACTAGTTATGTTATAGACTGCAAGTGGCCACATTTGTATAACAGGAAGGTGTGGTCATAAGTGGTAAATCGGCTCTGCACAAAACGAATGTGGCAATGGCAAACATACACAACATTATGTATTCCTGACTACATGTCTTTTTTTTTTGCATTACCAACTCGCGTCATTCTAGATGTAACCAGTTATTGGCACCACATGACAAAGCTAAGAGAAAATTGTATCTCGGGGATCTGGATTTACGCAATCCTTGCCCTTGTCCTCCCAACGCATAAACGCACTGCACAATATTTCCTACGGCATGTCACAAAGGTTCTCTGAAAGTTATATTTGGCGTATTTGGGAACAACCCAAACCTGATGCTGATTATGTAACGCTAAAAAAGATATAAAAAACGCTTTTTGACCATCAACCCACCGGCCAGATCAATCTTTGCAATCCTTTAAAAAAAAAAATAATAATAAATATAACTAAATAAAATAACCGAATTCTCGATTATTTATTCAAATAAAGAGCCAACACTATCATCTATTCTTCTTCTAATTGTTAAAAACATATTCATAAAAAAAAAAAAAATGCTGAAAAAAGTTCTAAATCGCGCTTCATCTTTGGTGAAAAAACGCAATTCGGCGGAGAACAAAGAGGAGGTGGTGGAAGTCTCTCCAGACGGTTCCACTACAACCATAACCACAATGCAAAATGGTATCCGTCAATAATCTCATCCAAATTCTCTGAGCACGTGATTAATCCCTCATTTCACAGGCAAACCCGTTAAAATCGTTACACAGAAGAAAATCGTCCAAAAGAAGCCAGAAGATAAACCGTCGTCCGATCATGTCGTGAAATCGGAAGGACAGCGTGAACCGGTAGAGAATCGACCTCCGGAATCTCATGCTCAGTCGGCTCCCAAATCTCCTCTCGTTGCTCATAAGGCTCGCGATCCCGACGAACCTGACTTCGACAAAGTGAACATCAAGCGCGATAAACAGATAGACCCCGCCTCGTGAGTTCAATTTCTTTTCTCCGACTGGGATTGACCCCGAAGCACACCACTAACCTTCCTAACCTTGTATAGTAAATGCGCGGCAATTGTGATTGCCAACGAATTCCAAGGCCATCTCGATCTTACAGGTAATAATATCTCTTTTGAATTAGAGAATAAATGTGTCCCCTCTTCTTTCGCATGTCTTATTTTCCATGCTCCTTGCTTAATCTTCTCGCAGGCAAAGACTTTTCAAAAGTCGACGAATATGCACGCGCCACTCCCAATTCCAAAACGAACAGTGTAAAGCATTTGGCGGAATACCTGATTGCACCTTGGAATAACGAATTGGACAAATTGCGCTGCATCTTCACTTGGATCACCGAAAATATCTCCTACGATACCGGTGCTTACTTCTCTGGTACATTCATTTCGAAAATTTTTAGAGTCACGTGTATCCGTCCCTTCATCTAACATTTTTTCACGTGACAGGCGACCTTTACTTTAACGGAGCGGAGGACACGTTACGGACCCGCAAGGGTGTTTGCGAGGGATATGCGGGATTGTTTGATGCGCTTGCAAGTGTAGCCGGCCTTAAAGTCTGGAAGATTTCCGGAAAAGCCAAGGGTTTGTGTCTCGTCGATCAAATTCTTGATTTTTTGAGGGGGATGTTTTTTTCTTTCTCCAACAGCATATCGATAATATCATACATATAGGTGTAGGATATGTTCCCGGTAACTCGATCGACAGCTCACAGTACGCTCACGCCTGGAATGGGACCGTCTACAAGGGCGAATTCCTATTGATTGATAGTACCTGGGGATCCGGTTTTCTGAATGGTCGACATTTCGAAAAACGATTTGAACCATTTTACTTCCTATGCAAACCCACCGACTTTATCTACAGTCACCTACCAGACGATCCGAAGCAACAATACGTCTCACCTCCACTCACCGAAGAAGAATTTCTTAGTTTGACCCATGTCAAACCAACATTTTTCGCCTCGGGATTACAATTCCGTAAATATTATGGGAACGTGATTGTAACCGATAATGATCAGTTGGAGATTGAGATTGCGAGATTCACCCCGGATAAAGGTAAACCCCTGCACGCTGTCCTCGAATGGAAGGGGCAATCGATACCAGTGATGATTCAAAGACTTGTGGGATACGGAGATGAAAGTGGTGGCAGAGTTTATAAATTACATGTTACGTGTCCCAGCGCTGGAGAAGGGAAACTGGAAATCTTTGTTATGATACACGGCAATTCGGTATGTACATATTTGGCACCGTCGTCGTTCCTCGAACTTCTCCCAAATAACATACTCATGCACATCCTCGCGATCTTCAAATTTCGCCGAAAAAAGGGTCCATTGACTGCATCCCTTAAAGTAATAAACAAAGGCCGAGGATCGAATCACACCACATATGTGAAGACTTACAGCGTTCCATTCTCATACACCATTCACACCCCGATCCATTCCAGAATCCACCTCGACAAACCTCATTCCAAGACAAAATTTGAATTCAGCATTTTCGATTTACCCGAAGACGAGCATCCTGTTCTCTCATTGCTCACACCCACGAAACAGGTCAGGCAGTTGGAGAAGGTCTCTAGGTGTGATGATGGTAGTGTCACATATGCTCTGGAAACCTGCGTGGATCAGAAGGGAGAATGGAATCTCGTACATTCCGAGAAGAGTTCGCATAGTTTCAACTTCGTTGCTCAATATGTTGCAGAGTAGAAAGAAGATTGATAGATCGATATGCGTGTATAGAAAATTTTTTTATTCCATTTACTATTTATGTTTCATATTGTACTCATAAAATCATTGCCTCTTGTATCACTTAAAATGTATCATTCATTATTTATTTATTCATTATTAATTAAAAATCATTGAAAAGTTTTTATATTTATCTATCCGTAACCGTGCGCATGCCAAATTATTTGCTTTCAATTATCGCGCCAGAGCCTACTTTATTGTAGCGTGCACAACACTGGGCACAGTACAAAGGCCACTCTGGGTTCTTAGCAAATGAACACCTTTGGTCTCTTGATTGACCCAGGATGCCACTTTTTCTGTCGTTGTTATTAATCCCGGTTGCAAGGTCTCCCAAATTTTCTTCTTGGGGTTCAATAATGGCTCGGGGGAACCTTGCGAATATTTGAAACAAAAATTATTGACCGATCTGGCATTAGGAAAAATGTCAAAAAGTGTCCACATATGAAAATATTTTCGCATACCTTCATACCCCTCGAAATACACTCGGTCACCTGGTTTTGAACCTTCTGGTGGTTCAACGAGTTCAACTTTACCCTCTGCCGAGGTCGCCGCAAGCACCATCGCAAATGACTTGATACCACGCATTCTAAATGTATACGTAGTTCGTTGTAATAAGATTCACCAATGAGAAATCACTTTTTTTTTCTTTTCGATTCCAGAATGATCGATATAAAACCTACGCTGCTGGTTTCAAGTTGCATAGCAGGACCACATCACGATCCTGGTGAACGTTAAGAATAACTAACACGTTAAAACACTGCGATTTTTATTAAAAAGTAAATCGAATAACACAAACTTGAATTTGATCTATTGGAATATGTTTAACCAATCCACTAACTACTGTCCTCGGATCCGCCTCGCCAACATCGATCTGCTCAACATACAAGGAGTCCGCGTCAGGATGTTTCTCAGCTTTTATGATATGCCCAACCCGTAAATCGAGCATGCGTGGAGAAACCGACGACAAAGATCCGGCAGCATTTGTATCAACCACATCACCAGACTCCTTCTTTTGATCTTTTTTATCTGACTTCTTTGTGGCTTTCTGCTTTGAGGGTGGAGATTCGGTTATTGGGCCTTGATCACTAGCTCTCGGCTTATCGGATTTGGTTCTCTTCGGTTCAATCGCCTTGACGATCTGATCGTGAAACATGTTAGCGCCAACTCTAAATCACGTTATGCAAAAAGATCAAATAAATAAATATAAATGACACCTTGGGAGCATTCAAATCAATTTCAACAATATTTAATTCACAACGAGGGCCTGACTCTACGGTAGCAGTGTGCTGAATGAAGTCAAACCAACGCGTCAAATTAGGAACTCCAAAGCGTTGATGTGTGGACAAACCAGCCTAAGTTTAAAGAAAAAAAAAAAATTATTAGCGCCAACACCGACATCCGATAAAGTCGTAATGCAACTTACAAAGAAATTATGAATTCGTGCAAACACAACTAAATCTGCCACCGATAAGTAATTCCCCAAAATGTATGTTCGGGTAGCCAAATGCTTGTCTAGAACCTAGATAAATTAGTCAAAGATCACCTTAAATATTTGTCGAAATCATCTGGATGAGTAAAACATTGCTACCAGTTACCTCGGCGAGTTTAGATAAATTCTGGTCGACCGAATGCGTAGTATCTAGCCATTTTTGAATCTGGGGATATCAAATACATAGAATGATACTTTGTCAATTCGAAATCACAGAAATCATCCGTTTAACGCTAATAAAATAGAACACAAAAAAACCTTCAACATAATAACCCGATTGGGAATATATGAATATTAATGTTAACCATCCTTAAAAACTCACCTCAGTAACGTCACCAGGATCCTTAGCACCGATAGAATTTTTTCCAAAATTCTCGGTTAAATATTTAATGATCGAACTTGAACCCGAGATATTTGTTCCGTCTGATAGTGTCAAGGAAGAATTCTAAAAGAAACGGTATTGTAAATACGTACCCGGTGATTAATGCTAATGCATTACTCCACTCACCTCACTACTGGATTCCTGAACATTTATGTCACAAACTGAAGAGGCCAGGTAATGATACACAAGTTTGGTGTTATGATCATTGATCGCTATCGAAAGTGTTGCCATTGAGAAGTTTGATCTATCGACTGTATGCACAAAATCTAAACTGCCGATCACCATGAGTCATTATTACTTGTATTTTTTACTATGTTTTTAAATTTATTAGATATATTATTAAGTACTCGTACTCATTTAAAAATATATAATATTAATATTTTTATTTTTATATACACTGTACAGTATATACAGTTTCCGTACCGATGTACTAAATCTTTATTTATTTCTAATTTATTTTTTTTTTAACTGCTAATAAATATTTGATTAATACAACTTTGAGATTATCTATTAATAAAAAAATATATATAGCAGATAGAAATTAAAAAAAATTTTTTTTAACTTGTAATCATGCTATTATTATATATTTCTTATTGAGATATCAAATAAATATCTACAATATTATATGGATTTTTATATAATAATTAAATCTTCGTACAATGAGGAATTTACTAAGTTATAGTAATTTGAATTAAACAAAATAATGTTTTGATTAAATACTTTAAATCAAATTTAGTAATAATATTTTATTTCTTTGATAGATTGATACTAAAATTCTATTTACTAGGATTATTATTAACAATTTGTTATTATAGATTATTCTAAAAAATAATAAATTGTTAAATTAATATATTAAAAAAAAAAATTTTTTTTTTAATTTAAAAGGTTTTTATTCAAATAAACAATCATTAATGTTGATATTATATTATAGTTAAAATAATAAAAAAAAAATAAAAATTTTAACTATTTAAAAAACTTTAGATATATAGTTGCTTTCAAAAGTTTGAGTCTATTTACTATATTTTTATTATAAATTTCAATCTTAACAATTTTTAAATCCTTAATTATATAATCAAAAATTATAAAATTCATATATTGTATATTATATTTTAATACTAGTTTTATTTATTTTACTTTTTTTAAAAAAAATTTATATGTGATTTTTAAAGTTTTATTATTATTAAAAAATTTT